AAATCATGGTCTCGTCACTTTGTCGCTTTGTCGCCCAGCCAAGATCAGAGGAATCCTAACTCAAAAAATCCTACCCTGCGTCCTACTCTGGGGTTGTTGTGGTTGGCGGTTGGCGGTTGGCGGTTGACCTAGTACTATGGTTATGGTTACTATGGTGGTATTGTAGCATCCCATCAGGTGGACTGAACTTGTTCCTTTTCCTCCCATCCCCTGTTCCCCTGTCATCAGTTAACCCATCTTCCCCCTAAGAATGCCCGCATTAGCGCCTAAGCCCGGGCGTCTAACCCTTTTCTTCTCTTTTTTCTCGGGCTACTTACAGCAGGTAACCCCCCTAGAACTGTGTCACGTGTAGTCCGGAATAAGGAACAAAGGGAATTGGGAATTGGATCCCACTGACAGAAGCACCACTTGGTAATAATTAGATGAACCAAACAGGAGTAGTTTATTTGTTATTCGGGGCAATCCCTCTTTAGTTGCCGTCTCCCACGGCCTCTAGCGGAAGGCTAAATAATTGGCGATAAATGACCTGCAATGCTTATATCGGATGAGTTCCACCGAGGATTATTCGATTATATATAAAGATCTCATCTCGGACGGACCGGATAGAATTGAAAATTCTGTTAATAATTTAGACATCTATAGGGCTAACCGACCTACCTTACTTGGGATTCCTTGATTTACGATTCTTCTTAGGCCGCGCTAGGTTCGTGTTCGTAGATTGAGTGGGGAATTCCTAATCCTTTCGACATTGTCACGGCCTTGCTTAACTATACATCTTGTTCGAGAGGTAGCCCACTAAGAAAATCATTCATCTGGATGGAAACATTACATAGGAATCTAGGTACCTGATCATACCCAAGCCTCATCGGTATAGTGAAAACGCTGAAACGAGTACTCACAACTTATATTCCAGCCCCCCCCCCTCCTTTACTCGAAGTTGGTATGTCCTACCTCGATTATCCCCTTCGAGCATAGAAATCCGCCGACTGGCCCAACGTAAGTCTCATTAAAATAAGACAGCACACTCTCTCAAGTATGTCGGCGAGTCAATCGTTTGGGCTGGGTTCTTCAAGGCGTATATAATGACCCTCAAAGCAACCCTATCGCTATACATAAATGTCTCGTATTATAGTTATTTTCTTACGGTGACATTTTCGTGTAAAGGTCCCGTCTGATGTGGTTCCGTCCGATCTATGCTCACTTAAATGATTCGACCTATTAGAATCAGCCGAGCGACGTATTTCAGATGCCAGATCTATCTGCATCGATAATGCTCTTCCTTTACAGTTCGCCAACACGCAATCATTCGTCACACCTCGGGATGCGTCGAACCCTGGCCCTGGGAAATCGTAGAGAGATACCCGGCAGCGTGGGTAGCACCAAACCCTATCTTCGTTATGCTGCAGGACCCTATGATCTTTAAGCTTAGTACAGAGTCTAATGAACTGGCTCGTCCCAAGCTTATTAGACTTATTCTTTTCCTCGAGTCTAATTCCGAGCAATGGACAATCATATCATGTAGTGGTACATATTCTTCTTTACGCGAGACGCCCAGATATAAATGGAATCTACACGGCCTCAGATCAAGAATGCCCGGAGATAAAGTGGGCCGAGGACCGGGTGGCGGGAGGATTCGCCGGTGTACACCTGTACACCCTGGAAAGTATCGAAGCACACTTACCCCAATGTCTCAAGACTCACGACTGGTGGGGTTACGCCTGGAATGCATGCGACAAAGCAGCAATAACCATGGATCATTGGCTCTTGACATGGTTCATTCGACCTTCCCCGGCTCGTCTTCTACACGATGCTGTCATGATACGAGACCCCAGCTTGGACAGCTCTGATTTGTGCGGGGTGGCTATGGCCCTCGGTACGATGATGAGACGAGGGAGGAACGTATACATATCGGTACTACATATATATATGTATGTCTAGTACCCTATGATGTAGTATGCCTTGCCTTAGCAATATTTACATCACGCGTGGTTTGTAGCTTCATAGCGTATGCAGTCCCCGCCCTTGCGATGCCGAATCCCATAAAGGCCTTTGTGAAAGGGCCTAATGACCATATATAACCTCCGAATAGTCGGAGCTCTCACGATCATCCGTTTCCTCTTGATGTAGTAGCATACTCAATAATTCCTGGACTGTCTTTTCGTTATGGCGTCCCATTCCCTTTTGCTTCGGTCTTGCGCCGTCTTGTTACTGTGTCTTCCACGATATGCCTTCGCTCAAACTTGTTGGAGAGATACGCCATGCACGGGACCTGACGAGGCAGCTTTCCCCGGTGAATGGGAATCGAATATGTTTACCCCGTCGTCCCGAATTGTCACTCCTAAAGCTGTCTTCGACCCAGAAACTGGGGAGAGCTCTTCGTTAGAATCTGCCTCCTGGACCAGCACCCAATCAGGTGTCTACTACGACTTCGGCCTCGAGGTTGGAGGGGTCGTGTCGATCCAATTTTCCGTCTTGTCTACCGATGGCGGTGGCGCTCTCGGCATAGCTTTTACGGAAGCCAAAGACTGGATCGGACCAGTTTCGGATTCTTCCAGTGGCATGTACGAAAGAAAGGATGGTGCGCTCTACGCCAATTTCTCCTCGGCTGGTGACAATACCTACGCCATGCCAGATGAGCAGCTCCGTGGCGGGTTTCGATACATGACACTATTTCTTGTCGGATCCAGCTCCTCTGTCATGATCAACAATGTTAGTCTAGAGCTATCTTTCCAACCAACCTGGTCAAATCTTCGAGCCTTCCAGGGATATTTTCATAGCAATGATGACTTGCTCAACAAGATCTGGTATAGCGGTGCCTACGTAAGTGTAGATATGTATCATATATCAAAAGTCAAATAATCGAGGACTACTCTTTTTGATTGAAAAAACAAAAACAAAACAAAAGTGTATTAACAATACTGTCCGTAGACTATCCAGACGAATGCACTTCATCCTTCAACCGGGAGAGCTTGGCCCGCACCAGAGAGCCAATGGCTCAACACTGGTGACATTGGTACAGGTAACACGATAAATACCGATGGTGCAAAACGTGACCGGACAGTATGGCCTGGCGACATGGGAGTTGCAATTTCCGCTGCCTTCTATAGCACTGGTGATATCGAGTTAGTTTTTCAAGACGTGTCAACCGACCTATTGTCACTTTGCTCATTGTACTTAGGAGTGTCAAGAATTCGCTGGCAACGTTGTATAGCATCCAAGTTGGTACCACCTACCGCAGGCCACATTCCGATGCGAGATCCGCTACTGACCTGAGATATCCGCGTACAGGCAGAAAATGGTCTGCTACCATTCTCAGGGCCACCGCTTCTTGCCACGAACAGTGATACGTACCACATGTAAGACTGGACCTACGTCTACCCCTTTCTACCTGCATGAGTCTACCGAAAACTGACCGTGTTCCCTGCCACAAGGTGGACCATGATCGGAACGTACAATTACGTACTCTATTCCGGAGACGTGGGTTTTATCCGAGGGATTTGGTCCAAGTACCTCGCAGCCATGAATTTCATCGCCGATCAACTGGACCCGTCCCTGGGTCTCCTCAATATCACAGGTTACACGGAGGACTGGGGCCGCTTCTATACCGACAACACTTCGGCGTCGGCACAGATGCTCTATTACCGCACCCTCGTTACCGGTTCTACGTTAGCTACTTGGTTAGACGATACAACTGGAGTCAACTCAACGTGGCTTGAGTCTGCGTCTAAGCTCCAAGGTGCCATAAATGCTCAGCTCTGGGATGAGATAGCCGGTGCATTTGATAATAGCGTCGAATCTCGTGAAAATGATACGGGTTTGCACCCGCAGGACGGCAATGCTTTGGCGGTACTCTTCGGCGTGGTGAACGCTACGTCGGATCAAGCGCAGGATATTTCCACGTCCCTGACGAAGAATTGGACTCCGATCGGGGCGGAAAGCCCTGAGCTCCCTGGCGAGGTTTCGCCGTTCATCTCCTCGTTTGAAATTCAGGCACACCTGCTTGTAGGGCAGACGCAGCGCGCCCTCGACTTGATCCGTACATCATGGGGCTGGTACCTGAACAATGAGAATGGCACACAGTCGACCATGGTCGAGGGTTATTTGACAGATGGATCTTTCGGCTACCGACACGATGCTGGGTACGCAGAGGATTATTCGTATACTTCGCACTCTCGTAAGTATATTTCACTATTAGTACCTCACTCAACCATAAAGTAGTAGGTTAGATGTTTATTTGAGATACTCTAGACGGGTGGGCGACTGGCCCAGTGACGGCATTGACAGAATATGTCCTTGGTCTCAGCATTACTAGCCAGGCCGGATCGACATGGCAGCTCGCGCCTCATTTCGGAGATCTCCAACATGTCGAGGGCGGCTTCACAACTAGCCTTGGAAAATACTCCGCCGCCTGGACTCTTGATAACGACGGTGGGTATGTTCTGGAGTATAGTGCGCCGGAGGACACTTCTGGCGTATTAATCCTTCCCGAATCTAATCGGAGTGGGAGTAACGAGATCATGGTGGATGGGCAATCCGTGATGGGGTATTCTTCCCAGTCTGTTGAAAGTGATAGCAGGACGCGACTTTATGCTGAAGGGAAAGGCGGGAAACATCGGATTGAAGTGAGATAGGACTGCTACCTAGAATACGTCCATTCAGGAATAAATACATACGAATCTACGTCAACGGATCAAGCAGATGTACTTCGACTTTACCTCGGGATCAGTGTTCAATCGAGACACTGACAAATAGAGGCAGATTACACCTATAAATGATGAAAGTAATAACTTGTGCTCGTTGTCGGAGGTAAATTTCACCTTCAACATCGTTGCAGTTGCACAGGGGCTCCACCTCCTGATTTAGCTCTTGGCCTTCGGAGTCTTCAGACATTTACCTAAACAAAGTAATCGCCAAAAATGGCCCTGAATACTTATAACACATGAAAGGAGAGATCTACAGATCATGGAATATAAAGTATAAAGACACTAAAAAGCATATGACACCCTACGTGGGACTCGAACCCACAACCTTCAGATAACTAGCACTGGTAGACAAACGGGTTTACACACAGCGACATAGAAGTCTGATGCTCTACCATTGAGCCAGCAGGGCCATCGCGGTCGGATAAAGCTCGGTTGCTTCGAATGTCCTAAAGAAAAATTACTTTGCACTATATGATCTGTATTTGAGACGGTCATTCCTTAGTGGGCTGCAAATCTGAGGCTTCGAGGCAGCGCACAGATCAGGTGATGTACCGTGCATCACATTGCAAAGGATATGAAAAGAATTTACTCGGGGATATGCTGATACCAGGTAGGTACCTACCTATGCATCTAATCATCTACCTACCCCACGTAATGGGTCACCTGATCGCGACCCCTTCTCGCGTTAAGTGCAATGCGCTAAAACACTAAAACGCGTCAGGCAGAATTCTAGAAAACAAATTCGTCCCACCTTTTTCCGCAGGACTGATGTCAACCTCCCATTCTACCAACTGAAAATCAGGCAACAGAGCTCCAAACCCGAAGCTGGTACGGTTTTCTTACCGAATCGCGTGGATATCCTGTGTGACTATTGCAGGAATACACTCCATATTTGTCTGGGAATGCATTGACATCTCATATCGAACTTGGACAGACCGAACCGCGTTTTGTAATCTCCACCATCCACATCCACCATGGCGGAGGAAGGCGAATCTGCCGCGCTTTTTAGCAACTGCGTGTTCTGCTTTGTTAAGAGCAAAGAGTTGGACGACAAAACAATCGAGGGTGTAAGTTGCGGCCATTGGTCAATGCGAAGCCCATACAGGCCCGCGATGCTAATCTGTTATATAGCTTACAGGTCTCATCAAGAAGCATGGCGGCGTCGTCGAAGAGCCCATCCGCAAAAAGCCAGTCAATATTATGGAAGCCAAAATTACCCACATCATCGCCAACACGAACGATTTTGAAGATTATACATTCGCGACTTCGATGATGGTGGCCGTCGTCAAATCTAGCTGGATTCAAGCATCTCTGATGAAAAACAGGCTGGCACAGATACGCCCCTTTACGCCCGATCCCCGAATGATCTTCTCTGATGTGGTGCTAACTTGTGCTGACATCCCGTCTACCGACAAAGAAACAATAATTGGTGCTACAATGGCTATGGGTGGAATGGATTCTGATAATGTCACCAAGTTGACTACCCATATCTGCGCACTCTCTATGGAACACCCGAAATGTAAATTAGCCTCCAAAAAGGCTCCCAAGTGCAAGATCGTTCTTCCTCATTGGTAAACACGTTCCGTTCAGAAGGCGAAGTAATTCCATTCTAACATGTTTCAGGTTCGACGATTGTTTCAAGCTCGGGAAGCGAATCGATGAAGGCCCATATCTTTTGCCTGATCCGGAGTATCTTCGCGTAAGCGCGAAGGATGCTGTTCCAGTGCCCTCAAGTCAGCATCTTGAAGGTGCCACTTCAGCCCAACCGGACTATATGCCTGCGCCTTCTAATGACGTTGTAGGATCCCGCTCTCTTACCGCGTTCGAGGGCATAAGGGTCATGCTATCAACAGACTTGTCGATCAGGGATCGCCTCAAGGAAATCATTCAGGGGCTGATCAATACAAATGGGGGTGAAATAGTCGATGATGTCGTAGCCTGCGACTGGTTCATCTGCCAATACCGTGATGGACCTCAGTACGTACGTGCCGCGCAACTTGGCAAGACGGTGGGCAATTTGTCTTGGTTGTACTATATTATCATGCACAATGAGTGGACCAGCCCGTTAAAACGGCCTCTTCATTATCCTCTCCCGCGTGGCGGTATCCCCGGATTCGAAGACAAAATAATCACGGTATCGAACTATGGGGGGGAGGCTCGTATTTATCTGGAGAATCTGATCACCGCCGCGGGAGCGACTTATACTAAGACGATGAAGGCTGACAACACTCATCTGATCACGGCTCGCAATAATAGCGAGAAATGGGATGCTGCTGTAGACTGGGGCATCGAGAGGGTCAATCACCTCTGGCTCGAGGACAGCTACGCCAAGTGCCAAATGCAGCCTCTGTCAAACCCCAGATACTCCACTTTCCCGCCGCGCACCAATCTTTCGGAGGTTATTGGCCAGACGCAGTTGACCGAAGAAACATTACGAGACATGTACTATCCTGGTGCACCAGAGAGTTCCAACTCGTCGAGGCTAAAGCGTAAGATACAAGACGTGGCGAACGAAAACGCTTGCCCTGAGGGGCCAGCCGAAGGTGTCGTGATTGGTCGACAAGCGCATAAGGAATTCGATGTAATGATGGATACGGATGCCGATTATGAGCAGAAGACAACCGAGGTCTTCGGAGTACCGGCGCCACAAAAGCGCCGCGCGACAACGCAGTTCGCCACTCCGGCCAAGGCCCGTCACCTCCGTACAGGGAAGGAGAACGAGACGCCATCGACGGTCTCATCAAGTCGAAGTGCCAAAGATAAGGCGCTGAATAGACTATCAGCCCTTGCGCCCGACATCAATCTATACGAGAAAGAAAAGAAGCGAGGGCTTAAGGATAATCATGGACCGTGGGGAGGTAAGCGAGCAGCTGATCAGATCGAGCGAGAGCATCTCAATCGCCGTAGTAGTTTTTCGAGTCCAGCCACAGGGGCCGGGGAGAAAGATAATGAGACGAAGGTCGAGAAGCGTCCAGCAAAGAGATCGAAACCATCACTACCAGATGTTGATAAGCGGATAGTCCTGACTGGATTTCATCGATGGGTTAACGACAAACACCGCGAAGATGCGGATCGGGTAAGTGTATCAAGTCTTGTATTATGATTTTTTTCCTAATGACCCGAAACAGAAAAAACTACGCGAACTTGGTATCGCCGTAGTCATGGACGGCCAGCCGTGCGACTACCTCGTAGCTCCCTCCTTAGTACGAACTGTCAAATTCCTCCGCAATCTGTCCAAAGGAGTCACCATTGTGTCTTCGAGCTGGATCGAAGAGTGTCTCGATACCATGATAATGCCCAAGCCTGAGGATTATCTTCTCAAGGACAAGGAGAACGAGAAGAAGTTCGGCATCACACTCGCAAAGTCAGTTCGCCAAGCCCGAACTAACAATGGAAAGCTCCTCTGGCATATTCCTATATACTGCACGTCCAGCATCAAGAACGGTCCAGAAGGCTACCGGGCTGTCGCCGAGGCCAACGGTGCCATTTTCAAGATGTACAGCGCAAGAAGCGGGACGACCATCAAGCCTACCAGTCCGGATGAGGACGAAGGCGGCCCGGATCCGGTATACCTGCTGAGTAACTCGAGTCCGGAAGAGAAGAGGCTGTGGCCCAAGTTCACCGATATGGCGACAAAGGGAAACATGGAGCCTCGTATCGTTGCTGCGGATTGGTTGCTGGATGTGGTCATGAAGCAGGAAGTCTTCTTCGACGAGAAGTATCTTGTAAAGAACTTCTTCAACTAGAAGGCAAGGTATCCTGCTGTCGAGTCGTTATAATGCTTAATGTATGAATTCGCTGCATAGCCCCTGGAGTGTGGGTCAAGAAGGGAGGCGTTCGGGGTGTTCGTGCGTGTCGGCATCATTCCATTTGCTTTGACTCTGCTTTGCTCTGCCCTCCCAGCTTAAGGGCAGATAGTTTCCACCTACCGTGCTGCCTTTTGTGTAGCACTTATTGTAAATAGTATTATTCGGATAAACCAAATTTAAATCCGTCGTCAGAAGAACTTGACACCTCGCTGATCCTCCTGGCCGAATATCTGCGCCTTACCCCGCTTGACTAGGACCTGGAGTGCTTTCAGGAGCAGGTCTGGTTCGATGCCGTGGAATTCTATATGTTCGTGATCAGCTTAACATGTTTTTATTTTCACCATATCCTCTCCCATCCATCCCTATACTACTACTGAAGAATGCTGCAGCAGCTGATAATACACCCTGGAGCAAAAAGCAAAAAAAAAAAAAAAAAAAAAAAAAAAAACTCACCAGCACCCCGCGCGCCCTCGCCCTCCGTCAGCTCGTACAGCGTCAGCACGGCGCCCTTCTGCGCCGTTCCCTCCACCCACTCCTCCACCAACCCCGCCCACTCCTCCGGCGTTCTCCAGTATATCCAGAACTCTCCTCCTCCTCCTCCTCCGTCTTCCGCCCCCACGGCCTCGGCCCTCCCCTCGCGCCGCATGTAATCCAGCACCTCGCGAGCGTCGGCCATCGGCAGACTACGGCCGATGCGCTTGTTGCGGAAGAGGTCTTCGTACGGGGTGCCGTCGTACGAGAGGGAGAGGCGGAAGAGCCGGTGGAAGCGGCAGTAGGAGAGGATGAGGGATGACCATTTCTCGAGCTGGCTGTGGAGTGTGGTTAGGTTGGTCTGCCGGGTGAAGAAGGGGGGGAAGTGGTATTCGCGGGGGAAGTCGAAGGAGGAGGAAGTTTGGGGTTTGGAGGGGGGTGGGGGTGGTGGTGGTGGTGGTGGTGGTGGTGGTGGTTGTGAAGAGGAGAGAGGCGTGCTGGAGGAGGAGGAGGTGGAGGCCGGGAGAGGCGCGGTGAAGGCGGTTGAGGAGGACGCTGGGGTCAGGGACATCTTGGGTCCGTTACAAGAAAAGAGAGAGATATAGAGATGCTTTGTTGTGAAAGAATGGGAGAAATGGAAGTGCTCTCGATGGGAAGCTCTCGGTGAATACGAGTGTTGGTGGGGTTCCCAAGAGCTTGGTACCCCGCTGTCTGCTGTCTGCTGTCCGCTGTCCGCTGTCTGTCGTCAGATCCCTTTTATCGATAGGTTAGGTTAGTCTAATTACCTAACCTTAGGTACCTGGTAGTTACCTACCTCCTAAGGAGACGGTATTGAGATTCACAATTCATGTATTCATCATAGCATAAAACAATAATAACATCGAACAATTGCTTCTTAAACCATTAGGCTATAGGTATAAGTGTTGGTGTTTTCCACCACCCTTTGGAACCATCCATTCATCCTCGGACATCATCATTAGGGTCATTCACAAGTTCAGTTCTTCGTACCGTAGTCTGCCGCCCGAACTCCACGCAAAAATAACGGGCAAAAACACATATACAACGAAGGGCATAAACCAAGGGAATAAACCAAGGGAATAAACCAAGGGCAGGCTTGCTTGCTCCCCCG